AAAGAGAAAATCCAAGAGGGAACGATAGTTCGGCTACGATCGGTGTTAGCAATCTAAATGAAGGAGGTATACACGATCCGAACGATCCGGTCAAGTCTGATAAGGTGGACAATCAAATTAAACCGTTGAAATGTCTAAACTTAAATACGCCTATTAAAGTGTGCCAATTTTCTTTGTCTATCAATATACGTTTGGTATGCTGGACGTCAATATATGCAAATCAATCAACATATGCCTTCCTCAAATAAAGGAAATCTCTCCAGCCCCAATCAACGGGTTGGGCTAGATAAGGCGCACGATTTTACATTAAGCTCACAATTAGCAAAACTTTTTTGAAAAGGTAAAATAAACCGCTTTGAGTTATGAATGGTTTTCTTTCCAGCGATCTCGGATTATGTGTAATATAAGTATGGCGCACGTGTACGAATGTCCGATGCTGCTAGCCGGCGGCGGATACCAGTAATGCATTGGTATCCAATAAACGAGTGAAAAAAAATTAGTATTTATGTATATTAAAGCCAATATTCGATAAAATATTTGTCAGAAATATATGAAAGATGTTCGGGACCAAAAGAAATGTAACTTGACCACGTAATCGTGGGAAACAATGCAAATGGCCTACGCCCAAGTAGTTCGAAACAAAATAAGCTAAATGATTTTTGAAAACCTACAATAAACAGTGTTTAAAAATGTAACAGTCAGCAGAATATTAAATTTATTCTTACATATGCGTCATTGTGCTCAATGAGCGCCGCGAAAAGATGTAGAGTTTGATTAACTACGTCCTGGCGCGGAGATAAGCACAGTTTGAATAATGCCGGCATTGAAGGATGCAACCAGATGCGTTCGGCAGCCGTAGACCCCATCTCGAGGACCAAAGAAACAAGGTTATTTATGGCCTGAAATAAAGTAATTGTAAAAAACAAACTTGTGAAAGCAAAGTTGGCGGAGGATCCTCCTGTGCAACCACATCAAGCATTGATGATATTTTTCCGCTGAGAGAATACGTTTCTTCTTTAGTTGACGTGACGGAAGCTTCCAAACGATACGCAAGCGCCTGAATAGCTTTGTTCTTGGGATCCATATGAAGAAGCCTTTTGACGTCCACCAGGGCGTCACGCATATTGTTCATGTTTTCGTAGGCAACACAGCGACGATACAATGCCTTTGTGTCAGACGGACATATTTGAAGAGCTAGCAGGAGGATAACATGTATTTGTTTGAACACTACCGCAATTTGCAGCCTTCACTGCTGACGCATTATCACCCAACTTTAGGAAACATTGCGCTTGATTTCTATATATTATTTCACGAAGATCCTTCGACGTATCGGATAATGCCAAACATGTTTCATATAATTTTAGGGCTTCTTTATATTCCCCTTTGCTGAAAAGTTGGTTTGCATCAGCTTTTAGCTGGTCAGCTGCGGACATTTGAAAATTGACTTTTTCTACCATT